CTAACATCTGTGTGCTGTTCTGCATAGGCGAATAGGACCCATATGGAGCTTCTTGCAGGATCCATGCTGTGTCTTCAGTAGACCTTAAAGACAACTTTAAATTGATAGTATTAGCTGGTTTGTCCCTTTCTGGTTTGATAGTCATGCTAATTGTTAGCAGCAATGTGGGAGATCCTTTTAAATAGAATACAAGATAATTTTTCCTCAGTTTACTTCCTGCATGGAAGCACTATGGTGGAGCACTTCGTTTAATTATCCTACTGCAAAGACATGTCGAGTGTTGACATGGTATTGTTCCTGGGACAACTTGCTTGAAAAATCTTGTAGGCATTGATTGAAACTTGTGAGCACGTGTTCCCCAAAGTGGTATCCCTCTTCTGAAGCTACGTGATCTCAGTGCTTGTTTTAAAACCAGAAAAAAAAAGAGGTGGGGGGTGGGAAATATCAGCATATGCAAAAACCTTAGTTTGTCACCTTCCAGCTGACAAAACCATGCACTGTAATTTGCAGGGCCTTACTGAATGGTATGGATGGTCCAGTGTCCATACCAGTGCAACATTGTGCCACAAGTAACAAAGATTTGTGCTGTTGCCACCTTCAGGGCATAAGCCAAGCCCTTTTTGTGTGTTTTCCCATTTGATGAATGAGCCTATTTAGTTCCTTTGTGAAAAGAGCTTTCCTGACCAGTCTTTTGCACAAGAGATGAAGGGGATGTGTTCTGACCAGAGTTCCCTGTGCTCCATGAATGTGTGGTTGCTCTAGTGGTAGAGGTTTCTCCTGTGTAAAGGAGTTCAGGTAGCCCAGTGAAAAACCCTAAAATAGAAAAACTGAGTCCTGGAAGAACCCCTATCTTAGCCAGACTAACTAACCCACTGCTTGTCTGCCCAGTGTGTATGTGCATGCACATATATGCTCTAATCTTCTAAAAGATTAGAAAAATTATATAATTCTCTCTATAAAATATAGTTTTCTGTATAACTAAATATATATATGTATTTTCTGTTTGGTTTTTTTTTTTTTTTCCCCCTGGCTATTCAGTTAACATGCCATAATTTTGCAACTAGCCATGTGCTTTGTTGCAACTTTAACTCTTGCATTTCCTGGCTTATTTTTACCTTATGCTTCGTATAGGTTGTTTGGTTTATTTGTTGTATTTAACACACACAGTTTTAGTGTCTCATCAACAGAGTCTTCTCTGAGAGTACCATTTGGGTTTAAATGACTTGAGATGCAAATCTGAGTAGGCTCAGTGTATGATCACATCCCTCTAATTTAAGGATCATTGACCTTGCTCCAGTGTGACCATCAATGTATCATTCATCCAAGAGAGCAGAAAGGATCTTCTCTTCTGGAGTGTCGAGTAAAGGCTTGCTTGTTTGCTGCTGCAGTTTTGCTCATGACAACTTACTGTCACTTGCAGAGTTAGGATATTACTTTGGTCCTAAGTAGACTGCTAATATTTTCTTTCTAATACAGTAACTGGTTGAATGTTGGTGAAAAAATGAGTGTATACATTTTGTGCTTGGTGGCCTCTGAAGGCAAAGTGTATTAAGAGAATTCATCATTTTTATAGGAGTGTAAAAAGTATTTTATTTTAATCTCTCTGAAAAAAAGTATATAAATATACACAAATGTAAGCCTTTAATGTAGTGGAACCCTTGGAGGTGCAGGCATCTGCCCTTGCTGATCTCACTGCAGCAGTGTGTCTGAAATGTGTTTTTGTAGGGCTGGAATGAACCATTTTGCCACAGCCCTGTTGTGGGGGAATAATGCAGAATTGTGTTGCCCCAAGGAAATCATTGCAAGGTACGATCTGGTTTCCTCTGTGCAGGCAGCCAGACCGGTGTGTGTGTTGTAGGGGAAGAAGTGAGAGGTAGATACGTAGATAGATAGATAGGAGGGAGCTGCTAATATTTTTATTTGAGTGTATGGTTTGAGTTTGCCAATGTTATAGGGATACTCTGATGACAGAGGAAAGCCCTGAAAAATTCCCCGTTTTCACATTTCCAGAATTTACCCGTTAGTTCCCAGTGGCCTGTAATCACAGAAGCCAAATTTGTATGACATCATACCTCAGTCTCCACTCACTGGGTTGTTTTTATTTAAAAATGAATAGCATGCTTTCTGTAACTTAATAGAAACCCCATTCTTTTTATTAGAGACTTTAATGATTAGATTTTCTCCAGGTATTTTTCTAAGTATTCTCATTTACTTGGATGTAATATATGCATATCATTATCTCTTTGACTGTAATTCACTTTGTTCTCTATGTCTATATTTTTTAGGACCTTTGAAACCAGAAATTACCATAACTTACATTGCTGTTTCAGCTATATTCTTTAACAGTGGACTCTCCTTAAAAACTGAGGTACTGTAATTTTTCATTGCTTCATTCTTGTTTTGCTTTAAAAAGTTTTGTGTTGCTTTTGATCAGGTTTGCATGTAATTGGAATATTTAATTACTATGCTGCTGTTGCTGATGCTGGGAGAATGGCTAACAAGAGAAGATAAATATTAGACATTTATGGAATAACCCCTCCTCGATTTCAGAAAATTCTTCACAAAGTAGTGAATGTGATGAGAAGGCGAGTGTGAATAAATTTCACCCATCCATAGAGGGCGGGTTGCTTGACTTTGCAGGGCTTTGACTAAATGGAAGTGCTGAGCACAATTTTGAGACTGGAGTTACACCCTGGATGTGTCCCAAACCCAAATCAGGGTGAGACCCAGGAGCACACTTAGCACCTGCCTTCTGCCACCCCTTCTGCACCCTGGCTTCCCCACTGCTCAGTTGAGATACAGGCCAGAAAACTGCGAATCCTAGGGTAGAACTTTGTAGGGGAACTAGGCAGAGAGGGGCTGTGTGGAGTCTCCACGCTTCCGTAAGACACGAAGAGAAGATGTGAGCTCTCTGTGCCTCTCTCCTTCATCTTGCCTGCTGGTGTGCTCTTTGAGTAAAACTGTTTAGACTAGACATTACAGGACTGATGCAAGCAAAGATCTGGTGGCTTTAAGTTACCACATCGGGTAGGTGCAGGACGGCAGCTAGTATCAACACAAAAAGGTTCCTCTGCAGATGCAAGGCCAATATACAGGTACAAAGTCTTGGCAATCTTTTCCTGTAGGATTTAGCTGTGGACAGGCGGACTTGAAGTGCCTGTGCTCTGCTGCATATCACAGACACTGAGTCTTTTTTCAAATTTTGTGTCACGCATGTTTCAAAGAGGAACAATCTGGGAGTAGGAAGAGATGAAGCAGAGAACCTCTTAGTGATGTGTAAAGGAGGCATGGAGAAAGGAAATGATGGCTACATGCCAAGAAGAGAAGGGGCATCCAGAGCTGAAGTGAAACATTGCATATCTCTGCTGGCCTAGTTTCTTGATTCCTTTTACGCTGTTAGCTGTGCTAACAGGTGATGTCATTCATATGTTGCATGATACTAATGCCTAAAAGAATCATCATGATATTGTCCAGTTATCTTCTGGGCAGACTGGGATTTGGGTAAACAGTGTGCATTCAACAAAACAATTTCTATACCTGTATCATGGTTATAGTGATAAAGTTTTAAATGGAGGTGGTGTTTGAATTGATGGCAGCCCTCTCCTGTGTCTGCTGGCAGTTCATAGAATCATAGAATCATTAAGGTTGGAAGAGACCTCCAAGATCATCGAGTCCAACCATCAACCCAACACCACCATGCCCACTGAACCATGTCCCTAAGCACCTCATCTACACGTCTTTTAAATCCCTCCAGGGAGGGTGACTCAACCACTTCCCTGGGCAACCTGGTCCAATGTTTAACCACTCTTTCAGTAAAGAAATTTTTCCTCACGTCCAAGCTAAACCTCCTCTGGTGCAACTTGAGGCCATTTCCTCTTGTCCTATTGCCAGTTACTTGGGAGAAGAGACCAACACCCACCTCGCTACAGCCTCCTTTCAGGTAGTTGTAGAGAGCGATGAGGTCTCCCCTCAGCCTCCTTTTCTCCAGGCTAAACAACCCCAGTTCCCTCAGCCACTCCTCATAAGACTTGTTCTCCAGACCCCTCACCAGCCTCGTTGCCCTTCTCTGGACACGTTCCAACATCTCAACATCCTTCTTGTAGTGAGGGGCCCAAAACTGAACACAGTATTCGAGGTGCGGCCTCACCAGTGCCGAGTACAGGGGCACGATCACTTCCCTGCTCCTGCTGGCCACACTATTTCTGATACAGGCCAGGATGCCATTGGCCTTCTTGGCCG